ATTACCAATATGAAGTCAAGGAGGAAATTTTTTTTATTTTTTTTTATTTTTTTTACTTCTTTTGGATCAACAGTATAAAAGAATGGGTTTCAAGGTTGAACTTAATGGACTTATGATCGCTGGTACCTGTAAGGAAAAGGTGTGTCCCAGAGACCAGGGATCCGGATTGCATTAAAACTAGCTGGTTCATTAATCCTCAAAAGCAAGTATTCGGCTGTATAGTACCTCAATGTTAAATAGTGAGGAACAGCTTCAAAAGTGTGGAATCCCTCTAGAAGGGAGAAACAGGGCATAGAATCCGGGGGAACCGGGTAATGAATATGGAATGCCACTCTATGCAATGAAGGAGCCTCTATCACAGCCAGTAATGATGCAGTCAGTGTAATAGGTCAGCGTAGTAGTTAAGCCGATGCATTTTGGTCCACTGTGGGACTTTGTCAAGACATCTATAGTGATAGCAAGCTTCTTTTAAAGCAACCTTACGCTAGAAATCCTACTGTATCATACAGGTAAATAACCTATTAACACAAAGTACCCTGAATTAAACTAATGTGAAAAGAACAGCAGGATAGGTGGTGCAGTAGCCAAAAAGAACTATTAAACATACATGCAATTATACATACAATTATTATTATATAAAATGTATTAATATGAACCGCAGTCAAAGCTGGAGGGAAACGAGTGGCATGCTTAGAGCTTTACGTTTATGTTTATGTTTTTGCCCAACAGGGCTTCAGTTCTCTTATTTTTCAAAACCAACAGCCCAGTACTGCCTACACAGTGATTTTCCGGAAGATAGGTAACAAACAGTAAACACCTTACAACAAACAAAATGGTACAAACGCTTGTCACACTGTCATTTATACCGCACTTGTGTTGATGTATTTGGTTATTTTAACCCCTGTGTAAGAATACATGTGACTGCCTTCTGTATTGTACTATGGCTGTTTCAAAATAAAGAATAAAATGTAAAAAATGTATTGATATGGGTATTTTTTTTTTTTTTTGGGTGCAGACTGCTAATACACTTGTTAAAGGGATTCTATAGAGTAAAGAATACAAAGTTGAAAGGGGAAGGAATATGCATCCAGAAGTAACTTCAAAATTTCAACCCCTTAAGAATTCATGATATAATAATAAATCATAACAAATCATTTGTTAAAGTTACTATATCAATATGAAATGTCCCACTCAAATAAGACATTCTGTACTAGCACAAGGTTAATAAGAATAAGATTTAAGGCGTGATAATTGTGGTTCTTAAAGGGTTTCTGCAAAAAAATAAAAAACCATAATTGCTGGTTTATGTTTGAACAAAACTTTAAAACGAAATACTAAAGATAAAAATTAAAAACAATGACATAAATCTACATCAGGGAGGGGCCTGACAACCGACTAAGATGGTCGCATAGAACTGGAGCTCCTCAGGAGAAATTACTTTATATGCCTCTAACGGGCCATGAGTGCTTCTTATTTGGGCCAAATCCTGCATCTCATTCTGAGGAGCACCCTTATTAACCTACTGAGCAGTGGAAGCCTGAAACTGACGGCTCCAGCCGGTACTTGACCTATGCTCGAGGTGGGGGAAGCAGCAAATCCTCAGCCTTGAAGTGTGGCTTACCTGCTGGCTTAACGCCCTATACCCCCACTCTGGGCAGGCGGGGGATATCCTGGTCCCCATTGAACTGCTGACAGGCTCACCTGCACCAGCGCCACAGTCTGCAGCTGTAGTGGACTGCCAGGGCCCAATCAAGATGGCTGCACTGTTGGGGCCAATGACGAAGAGCACCTGCATCCAGCCACCCATGCATCCTCTAGTGGCCTTCGACCGGCTCTGTGTGAACTTCTTGACTTAGCTCTGTACTCGTGGACTGACCTACAATCTTTCTGTCAGAGCGTTGGCTTTATGGATCCACCTTGCAACCCGGCGTCGCTTGTATGGGTATCCGCCTCGAGCCTCTAGAGCGGCCATCCGGAAAAGAGATGCCAAAGATCGTTATCACTGTGTTAACCTCTACCACTTCAGCTGGAAGGCTATTCCATGCATCCAATACCCTCTCAGTAAAGTAATACTTCCTGATATTATTTTTAAAACTTTGTCCCTCTAATTTAAGACTATGTTCTCTTGTTGTGGTAGTTTTTCTTCTTTTAAATATAGTCTCCTCTTTTACTGTGTTGATTCCATTTATGTATTTAAAGGGACACTATAGTCAACTGAACAACTTTAGCTCAATGAAGCAGTTTTGGTGTATAGAACATGCCCCTGCAGCCTCACTGCTCAATCCTCTGCCATTTAGGAGTTAAATCCCTTTGTTTATGAACCCTAGTCACACCTCCCTGCATGTGACTTGCACAGCCTTCCATAAACACTTCCTGTAAAGAGAGCCCTATTTAGGCTTTCTTTATTGCAAGTTCTGTTTAATTAAGATTTTCTTATCCCCTGCTATCTTAATAGCTTGCTAGACCCTGCAAGACTCCTGTATGTGATTAAAGTTCAATTTAGAGATTGAGATACAATTAAAGGTAAATTACATCTGTTTGAAAGTGAAACCAGTTTTTTTTTCATGCAGGCTCTGTCAGTCATAGCCAGGGGAGGTGTGGCTAGGGCTGCATAAACAGAAACAAAGTGATTTAACTCCTAAATGACAGTGAATTGAGCAGTGAAATTGCAGGGGAATAATCTATACACTAAAACTGCTGTATTTAGCTAAAGTTATTTAGGTGACTATAGTGTTCCTTTAAATGTTTCTATCATATCCCCCCTGTCTCGTCTTTCCTCCAAGCTATACATGTTAAGTTCCTTTAACCTTTCCTTGTAAGTTTTATCCTGCAATCCATGAACCAGTTTAGTAGCCCTTCTCTGAACTCTCTCTAAGGTATCAATATCCTACTGAAGATACGGTCTCCAGTACTGTGTACAATACTCCAAGTGAGGTCTCACCAGAGTTCTGTACAATGGCATGAGCACTTCCCTCTTTCTACTGCTAATACCTCTCCCTATACAACCAAGCATTCTGCTAGCATTTCCTGCTGCTCTATTACATTGTCTGCCTACCTTTAAGTAATCTGAAAATAACTACCCCTAAACCCTTTCCTCAGATGTTGAGGTTAGTATCATATCAAATATTTCATACTCTGCCCTTAGGTTTTTACACCCAAGTGGCTGCTACTGCCGTATTAGCTGCAAAGTCTGCCACCAGCAGCGCCATCTACAGGAGGCCATGAAGACTACAAAAGAAATGAAAAAAAAAAAAACGAATAAACACCAGGACAGTAAAGAAGATAAAGGTATAAGATACAGGGAAAAAAAGAAAAACGACAGTCACTGTTGGAAAACAAATCGTTTTACCTATGCAATGCTTAGTGAATATTCACCATGACATACAGAGCTATATATTTTATGTTACAGGGTGTCAGTCTCATGTCCTGCTGTCTACTTCTGTATTTCTTATTACGTAAAAAAAAGTATTACTATATACATAGCTTGCAAGACCAAATGGTCAGTAGGCCTGATTATAATACAAGATACTCATGCTTTGAAAGGGTTAAACTTGCATTTTTTAAACATACAATCATTTTCTGTTTAACCCCTTAAGGACCAAACTTCTGGAATAAAAGGGAATCATGACATGTCACACATGTCATGTGTCCTTAAGGGGTTAAAGGTGTTCTTGCACCTGACACGGCTTTCACTATCTTTTATAAACATCCTGCACTTGAAAAAAAAATAGCATTCTTTCTAGAACCTGCAATTTTTCATTGGGTTTCTAATCTCATACTGTCACTTGCATCAGTGAACAGGAGACCAACTAACAGCATTACGAAATGTTTTTTTTTTTTTTTTGTAAATAAAGCTTTTATTAGCAGTTCAAACAATAACAGATAGCAGAGCTTATATCGTCAGTGAGACTCGCAGGTCTCCAATTGCGTCTGACACAGGTACCGCCAACTCTAGATGAACCTTTATAAAACGTTATCGGAAGCGGATGACCGCTGGCCCACATCAGTGAGGGCCGTACAATTCTATAGCTGAACCTCAATCAAATGGTGAGTGGTGCGGTAGGTCCCAGGTCACGTCCTCGTACATGGGGAGTGAGAAAGGGGTCGGTTTGCGGGATCAGGTCCTATAGTCGTGCACCTGGTCTGGGGCTCCCTTTCCTGTTGTCTTTTCCTTAACTTTGGTGGTGCCTAGATATGTTGCGGGTTCTCTCCTGGGTCAGCTACCCTCTCTCCCCGGGTCTGCGTCCCCTCCCCCGCCGCGAGGCGGGCCATCATGGCGGGGGGGGGGGGAGCGCCCAGCGGCCTGGCCAGCTGTCTCTGTCGCATTGCTTACTTGTGGTCGGTCATCGTTATCATGCTTCAGTCGCTGTCCACGTGTGGTATCTATGGTGTGTCTGGAGTGTTTCCCCCTTCGGATGGGGATGGTGTGATGTCTCAGTGCTCAGTTGTATCAGTCATCCAGAGTTGGCTTGTGTTTGCTGTTTATTGTGGGAGTTCCCACGTCATGGGACCCCTCTGAGTCAATTGAGCGATGTCTCGTTGGGCCCACGTCCCTTAGGGAAGTCGTGGTGCCTTCTCGGGCTCAAATATATCGTGGCCCT